GTGCCGCTCTCTATCCTCCCCGGAGTCGACCCGGCAGAGAAGCAATCGGCGCACCCTGCGTCCCTCACCGCACTCGTATCCCTCCCCTACAAAGCCACCGAATCTCTCACCAAGAAGCTCAACCTCCCCGCGCAGTTCACAAAAGCTGCATCCAACCTACCCAATCTATCCTTGTCTATTCCAACCATCACTCCAAACGGTCTCACCGTAACTTTGACGCGCAAGAACGCCCCAAGAGACAGAGACTACAGGATCTACGCTCCTCGGTTCCCCAAACCCCAGACAGAGGGCTACTTCATGCTCCTTTACAGCGGCGGCGCATCCTCCGATGGCAAGAATGGGGAGCTCCTGGCTCTGAAACGTGTTTCTTGGCCATCGTCATCGAATCAGCGTAACGGAGGTGGTTCCGGATCTGGGTCGAGTAGGAAGCCTAACGATAACAGGAATGGACCGCTTGTCGTTCGTTCGTCTGTTAAGTTCCCCGAGAACGTAAGGGGTCAGAGCATGCGGGTTACGGTCAAGGTCGTTAGTGATTCGTACCCAGGTATGGAGTGGACGCTGTCTGATGTGGAGGTGGATGCGGGAGTGTCTGGGACGCAGACTTTGCCTGAGTCTTCGACTTTTCCTGAGAAGAGTTGAGTCGGGTTCAGATGGGATCAGAAATAGATAGCTGTTAGTACATAGAGCTCAATAGAAGCATGGATATAGTCGAGTTCAAATAAAGAACAGACGAGATCATATATAGTATAGTTTCTATGTAAACCCAATTTCTGACGTAGTTGGTAGTGGACATACTAGTAGTAGTGTCCAAGATATATAAGAGAAACGAACCATGAAATGAAATTCCAGGAGAGTATTCCATGTCCTGGCATACATCGCCAAGCAAAAAATCAAACATGATAATCAGCATAAGCTGTCACAAAGAGAAGAAAAAAAAAATGCAACCTGGAAAAGAAATCCACAAACCAAATACCACCAACTCTGGTGCACCTAGCTGGATAAGAACATCAAAATGGTGAACGCTACCTGCGCTGTTGAAATGAAAAACAAAGACTGCAATGGTGATATAAGAAGCATAAAATAAGCACGTGATCATAAGCATACCGACTTCCCAAGACTAATCGCTTAGATGGTGTCGACCAGTACTTCCTGCGATCGTCCAGGGAGATGGTTGCGATCAGCTGCCATAACCTGGGGCGCTTTTCCCTTCTTATCGCCCACGCGCTCATTGGGATCCAAACGGTCTGGCCGTGGTCTGATAGGTACAAGGACCTGCCTTTTACCTTTTGAGACGGAGACGGATCGTGCGATTGAGATTTCGACGGTGGGGACGGGGTTTTCTGGATCGGATGGGTTGCTGTCCTTTTTGGCGTCCCCGGAGGGCTCGCGTCTTGGTGAGGTGGGGGAGGTTCGCCTGCTTGCGGGGGACGAAACCTCGTTTCTTTGCCGGGGCGCATTGACAGGCGTGTCTGATGATGCAGACAAAGTTGATGACGCATAGCTGGCCGTTCTGGGCGAATCTACCTGCGTATCGATCCTTAGAGACGGAGGTGACTCGCGTACGGGTTCCTTTGCTGTAGGCTGCTTGTTGATGATCTCCCATTCTGGTTCCTTTGCGTCAAAGTATGAACGGACAGGACCTAATTTCTGCAAGAGGAGCCGTTCATCCTCGGAACCAATGGTCGTGGAAGAAAGGAATGAAGACACCGAGTTCTGTTGCTTATGTGACGGCTGCGAGCTATGGACCATGAGGACCACACTACTCTTTTCCGACAGATTTTCTTGATTTGATTCCCCTAGGGATGTTTGACTCCTGTGGATTGGGCTGGGGCCGCGAGGAATATTCTGACTCCCCAGGACCTTCGAGGCCTTGCTCGTTTTGGTCGGAGGGAACAGGCTGAAACTGGGACTGGGGGATTTCGACCGTGTCGGAACCGGCGAGTGAGGAGTGTCCTACATATTATGTCAGTAAAGTGATATCTTCAAGCCAGATGTACTTTTAGACACTATACCTCTTCTGTTGGAGGCTTCGTATCTTCCACATTCTTGCTGCGCCTACTCATGGAAGACAGCCTGTTCTTCTTGAGGACTCCTCCAAACATGACGCTGTATCGCTCCAGCTGAATGTCAGGAATGTCAACCTGGAGTAGGGGACCGGATCCAAGAGACTGTTCCTTCTCCTGGGGCGAACCACTGGTCGCATCTGCGTGAGACTGTTTCGGTTCCTGCGTAGAAGTCTGGACTTCCGGTACTATAGAGGGCCATGCGTCCGTGCCTGCGGTGGGACTGGCAGGATTCTCGAGGCCTGAAGACTGGATCTTTGGCTGCTGCTCGAATGAATAGGTCGAGCCTTGCATTGGCCATTCATTTTCGAGCCGGACCTGATAGAAGGGTTGATTTGGAGGGGCTGTCATGGCAGCCTTGGCCTTGAAAAGGCCGCCAATCTTCTTCCATTTGCTTGGCTTGCGCTGCAACGATGGTCGCGCTTGGGGTTCTGCCGGTTTGACAGGAATCGTCTCCTGTATCTGTGATGTGGGAACTTGCGGGTCGATCATCCGAGGACTTCCCAACGCGACGCCGATAAGACTTCCATTCATGTCATTATTGGTGCTGACGGGTGACGATATGGGGGAAGAGGGAAGTGGAGGAGCCTCGGTGTTGATAGGGCTCATGGCTTGCAACCTCTTCTGCGGGTGCCCTTCCGATACCATTGGGCGATGAAAGCTCCGATTTGGATGAGGCGCTGGGCGGCTGTTATTTGCGCCATCCTCGATACACTTTTGGCCCTTCCGTGGCAGCACATCAGGGTGTTTTGATGTTGGGGAAGAGCCAGCCTCCGCCTGCCTGACTGTACGTGACCTTCCTAGAAACGTCCCTCTAGCCATTGTGCACGACTGCCTGTATATCAAATACCGAAGTGAAAGTGATGGGTGAAGTTCCAGAGTATTGCTAAGAAGAAGATGATGGTGAAATAGAAAAGTAAAGAACGTTAGAGGGAGCCAAGCCCTGTTTCTATCAAAATCTCGAGACAAAGGAATGGACGGCCTTCCAGAAGACCCAAAGTTGAAATGCAAGCAGTTCAGACAAGGAAAGAGTCAGTTCATGATGGGGAGAAAAGGAGAATGGGCGATAGAGGGTCAGCGCAGCATAGTTAAGACGTTGCGGCAGTTATTGTGGAGCACTAGGCAGAGCGCTACATCTAAGTGAGACGTGTGGCAGGGGCGAACTAGTGCGAGGGCTTAGATTAAAACATTGTGCAAGATCTGACGAAGCGCGACGGCAGAACAGCCAACAGAAATTTCCAGAGAAATTGCTCAGGAGAGACGACACGGGCGTCCCCGCATGGCTAACACTGGACACGGACATTCGTCCAGTCACAAGAATTTGACAGCTCTGTGATTAGGAATAGGTGAAGGCCATCAAGAACCACACGAGGCGCTTATTCTAGTAGCTGCAAATCAGCGCTGGATGTTGCGGGCGCATTTAATTACGAGCGCGGGCGAGGGGCCAAAGAGAGAGGCTCCGGCCGACGGATTCACCTCGAGTTGGAAGTATGAGCGTTGGCGCAGCTGGAATCATTGGTTCCAGCTGTTCTGAAACCCCTGTGCGCTCGACCAATGAGATTGTGAATATCTCAATCGCCTGGCGATCACACAAGGCCTGAGACTCATTCTCAGGGCCTTGGTGTTACGGATCCTCTAACCGATGCCGCAGATGAGAAAAACCCTTTCACGGAGATGCTCGTGCGACCATGCCTGCATTCTGTCGACAGCCGAACGTTGCAATTTTCCGAGTCTCTTGGGGCAGTGGATTGCGATAGCCCGTTGAGGCACGAGGCCCGCTAGATAAGACTGAGGAGTCCACTGGGGAAATTAAAGTAAGAGGCCGCCCAAGGAACTGGCCCGCGGCCCTCACCTTAAGGTAAGTCACGGACCAGCCATCTCCTGAAAGGCGTTTCTAGCTTCTTTATTATTTCGTAGATCAAGGACTGATGGCTTGAGAATGGTGTAGTATCGAAAACATCATTAGAAAAGGTTAATGATGGACGGGAGTTTCCGCTATCCACCGTCATCGACAAGGAAATTGTCGAGGAGTGAGGAGTAGGAAAGAAGCGACTGACGGATGGCTGCAGATGATCCCCGGCACCTGACTCGATGACAGGCACGTGCCCAGTCAACCCACCACACATCATCTCAACTCGCAGGTGACAGTTGCTCCGATGAATTTGTTCCCATGGCAGAGGCATAAGGGATGAATAGACAGGGAAGAGGCGGTAAGAAGAAACCGGTGAAAAGAGGCCCGCAAAGTGGGCATGCTTGGGGTGTCTAACAGGTCTAGTTTTGCACCGGTAGGGGACTAATCCTAATTATCCTATACTGAAGCGGGTGAACTACGGAGTCGGCCTGCCGTTGAGCCCTCCACCGCCTGCATACTCTCTACGCATACCGTAGCTTTGGTGGGTGATCCCAAGGTTAAACTAGACAGTGATGGAATGAGGCTATTCAGAGTGCAGCTCTGTGTTGCTAGGGGGATGACGTAGGAAGACGTACCATAAAAGTGATCCCCCCAAAAAAGTAGATGACAGCTGGTCATTAGTAGTCGTGAGCGGAGGGGAAAGAAGAGGCAATATGATAATATGATGTTTGATCTCGGCATGTACCACTTGGTAGTGAGGATAAAGTTCAAGTAGGAGCTATAAGGTAGCAGCATACGATAAACAGAAGTTAGAGATCCATCCATCTTACGGTGACCGACAAGTAGAGAAAATGAGAAAAGTCGGGAATTGGCGGGGCAGGAATTACTAGCAGGAGATGCTCAGCTGGGAAAAAGCAAATGGAAACCAATGCCTGCCACCCCCACCAAAAGCAAACTAAACCAACTAAAGCAGCAGCAGCAAACCCCCCAAGCCCGCTCTTAGTAAACTCACCTCATCGTCGGCCTCCTTCTCCCCCTCCTTTCCCACCAACTTTCTTCGAGACTCATCTCTACTATCTACTACCACCTTCTTCCCCCCAGCGCATTATTTCTCTTTCTCCTGGTCGATTCCTAGTCTTCGCCCGGAGTCTTTAACCACCCCCACGTTCCACTCTTCTTACGGATTGCTCTGCTTATCCGTCTCTATTCCCCTTTCCCGACCGTCCCGTCATTTGTTTATCCGACCGTCACCATGGGTCAGCACTCCGCTATTTGGCAAGGTATGACGATAACGCATGCTCCTGCGACACTCCATTCTTTCTGTATAGCCCTTTATTCTTGGTAGTTCTAGGCTGACTTCTTTCTCTTCTTCCATCTCAGGATATGTCGATTCCAGGTACCGTATAACCTAACCATGTTTACCCCGCTTCGGCCACTGCCGCCCCTCCAAGTTGGGATCGGAATTCTGACGCGAGGCCGTTCAGCTTGATGGGATCTGGTCAATTTGACAAGGCCGGTATTCTGAGCCACGACCTCTCCGGCGTTGAGGCTGGCTCTCCCGGCTTCTCGGTATGACACGCTCCCCGACCACCGCTGGTTTGATCGGCGTGACCCCACGGCCAACCAAGCGCCAAACCAGCACGAACCCAGCGTTAACAACCACCACAGGCCTCCCCTCAAGAGCTCCAGGGCCTTGCCGCTGCCTTTAAGGACCCCAACTCTGCCTTTGGCACCGGTATCACTATTGGCGGAGAGAAGTTCGTCACCATCAGGGCTGATGACCGCAGTCTGTACGGCAAGAAGGTACTGTCACGCACACTTTGCCCTCGCCATTATCATCCCTCGAAAATATCAACATTCACTAACTTATGGAAACAAATAGGGTAAGGAGGGTATCGTCGTCGTCAAGGCCGTCTCCTGCGTCATGGTCGCCCACCACGCTGAGAACGCCCAGACCACGAATGCCGCTACCGTGGTCGAGAACCTCGTTGACTACATCAACAACCCCCGGTGAATGGGTTTAAAAGCAGAATGAAATTGTGTTTTGTCTCGCCTTGAGCAAGGGACAGTCGGTAATACTGGTTATTTAAATGTAAATCATCATGGTGGTCTCCTTTTTCTCGATTGTCTTTTCTCTCTCCGGTATTCTTCGCATCAATTGGCATTTACTACTACTCGTAGATTCATAGCTGTACATTATATGCTATAAGTAAAGCCATTCCAGCGAGCCTTTATTGATATGGAAGTCCAGACCGGCCATTTCACATGCTCAGGAAAGAAAAGTTAACAGGCCAAAGCTATCTAGCGTCCACACCTGTCCCGCATTCCGAATGATATCACCGGCCACTCTGTTATTCTGACAGCTCCGATCTATGCAGCATGCACAATAAGGTAATCTCCAAAATTAGCATTTAACTGTCATATCACAACCCATACTACCGAACATCGTAAAGAATACTGTCTCCCCAGGATCATGATACCCCCATCATCGGAAAAAATATATTAACAATTAGAAAGTCTCTAGTACATAATAATAGCCCTATTATAAAAGCGAACAACATCATCACCACCACCACCACCACCCCGCTCATCCAGACAGTAGGAAGTAGAAGTAGGTAGACATGGAACTAGACCAACAAATGATAGCAGTCCATGCCACACCACACCACACCATCCCATACCCATCCCATCATGCAAATATTCGTAACAAGAAAAAAAAAAGAAGTAAACCCTAATGCCACATAACTATTCATACACATGAACATGTCAAGATCCCTCCATCATCATCGTCATCGTTATCAAAAATATCATTCCCTCACTTATACCCATGCCTACACCCCCAAGAGCGAATGAAGGTTCTCTCTATACAGGCAACTCGGCATTCCTCCTTCCACCGGCCAACGTCTCCAGAACCTTTTGAATAAAGGGCCCTACGACGGGGATATTCCCCGCGAACTGGCCAATGGTGATCAGGAAGTCGCCGAAGAGGATAAAGAGACCGTACAGCTCGATTATGAACCCGGTGAGTGGCCAACGGAGGAGGATGAGGAGGATTCCAGCGGCGAAGGCGGCGGTGCCTTTGAGTTTTTGCCGGCGCGAGAAGAAGGCGAAGGTCTTTTCGAGGCCGATTATTAGGGTTAGACCGATGAGGAAGAGGATCTGTGTGTGTGGTTGGGTTGGGTTAGTTGGGTTTTTTTCATTGCGACTCGGGTGGAGAGTGAGGTGGGATCATTAGGGGTAGCGTACGTTGCCCATTGCTAGTCTATTGGGTGAGATCTGTTAGTTATATTGTGTGTTTTTGAAGATGTATGGGTAGGTGAAGGATATGGACGTACAGTGAGCGATCGAAGAACATTAGGACTCCGCCGAAGAGGAACAAGCCTCCTGTTTGGGGGACATCGTTAGTATGTGTATCATCGGTTGGGTGATGTAGGATTCGTGGTGTCGATGCAAGCATGTTATGTAGACATACCAGCTGAGCAGAAGATAACTCCGATCTCTATTGTAGAAAGAACGTGCGTTAGCCAATGGATCCGGATATGATCTCGTGCGAAGCGTGCAAAGTAGGCGTTGCTTACTCTGGTTATCGGATAGCCACATTGTAGGCATATTGGCTATTTTCTGATTATATGGAAAAGCGCGCGCACTGATATAAAAGTTGGAAATAATACGTCGAGGACTGAAGCTAAAGGAGTTCAAGGTGGATTATAGCTCCCAACGATACGATGCGTTCGTCGCTCGGGGATTCGGGGGCTTGCGGAGATCGCGTGCACGGGGCACTATATATCGTGGAATGGACGAGGAGGCGGTAAATCCACAAATAACTAGAAATTGAGAAGATGAAGCTATCGCACGCCGATATATAGGTACTCGTCCTGGAGGATTCACGAAGCTCTTGATGTACAGGCGCCAGCAATGCGAGTAAACACGGAACCAACTGCGGCTGCTGCGCAAAATTCCCAATTCTGCCACGTCCCTTTCTTGGCTAGGTTTGTGCTATTCCGCGTTCGGATGGCGGTCGGGTGATCAACAACATTCGCACAGCCGCTATTTTCGATTCTCTCAACTCAACTTCTCAACCGATTCTACCTTCTGATGTTTACCATCGTGGGAGGACCATGCGTGTCGACAATATCACTCGGGTTGCATGCCATTGACTAGGGTCTTTCATGATTGGACACCTTGTTAGCTTCTAATGTGCAATCTTTCTACGATATTATGGATGCGGCGGTGCAAGAGACACGCAATGCTTCTACGAAAGGGGTGCCTACGATGATTTGAGGTATCAAGATGACTTCAATCGGCGACTCTATTACTGCAACTATTATGCCCGTATATACCTGGCGAGCCTTTGGGCTCAGCTCATTTCACGCCGCGGCGACAGCATCTTCGGATGCTGTAACTGATGTTCCGGTTCCTGGAGCTTCGGTACTAGTCGAGTGCATCTTGCACAAGGCGAAGATAAACTTTCACAATAAGGTCACGAATAAGCCGGAGCGTTTTCTTTGAACCTGTCTCGAGAGGGGCATGGTGGGTGGAAAGGGCTTGACTGTGTTGGCCGTACATAACGCGTATTAGATTAGGCTACTATCTAGCCTGGCCTCAGTTAGAAGTCCGCCGCATTATCGTCGCAATGAATATGACAACTTACCTTGATATCTTACAGTGTAAAACAAACATTTCCATAGCAAAATTCATAGCATCGTTTATTTGAGAACCACATGGGCAGCTCTGAGCTCCAAATAGCTCTCCGGCACTCCCTGACCAAGTGTTCTAATCACACCAAAGACCTCCTTGTCGTGATACCTCAATCGCGTCTTAGGATCTGTGTATGGCGCAGGTAGTCCTGTTATATCGCAGTAGCGGGTTTGCTGCGACGGGTGCAATGAGGGGGCGGATTCGATATTCGTGTAGGTTACGGCAGGTCCAGATGTAAATGCAGCTCGTGCGTTCTTTTCCAGCACCAGTGTCGAGAGGTTCTGCGCGGCCTGCGCGATGTTCGTTCGAGGTGTGCCATCGGCAGGGGTTTGGCTGCCGTCGGTGCTGGCGGACGTAGCTGGGAGTGGGGTGGTTGCGCCGGAATTAGACTGTGTTGCCATAACAGAAGCCTCCTTCCTCGAGCTCTCAGAAATAAGCTGCTTGACGTTCTTGTTGCGACGCTGCGATGGCTTCCAATTCGGATTGCGGAACGGACGGGAAACTGCCGCAATGTCGAGACGATCGAGAAGCGCTTGGTGATTCTCCTGTTCTGCGGGGGTAAGAGGAGCCATGGTAATGATGAAACGTTGAGATGCGAGTGAGGTTTTAGTTTGAAAGGATGAGGTCGGTGTCTTGGTTCGGTGGTGGAGGTTTGGTCGATAATGCCGAACTGGGGATATGGTGGTGCTCTCCCACGTCCGAGCCTTGCTCGAGTTGTGAAACTAGGATGCACGATGTGCGCCGATGTCGCCGATGCTGAGGGTCAGATGGCGCAGTTATAGTTACCGTTTGCCCGGAGATAGAGTCAAAGAAACAGTGAAGATAGAGAATGAGCCAAGTTTGGAGACCTGATGTCTGGATAGTGAACCTTCCAACCAGTTCCCAGCTCGGTATCAGTCACGTGGCAGGGTATCTTGGGTTGCCGTGAATCCCAAGAAGCAACAAACAAACACAACATCAACAATTCATCCACGAACTACACCAGATCGCAAAGATGGTAAGCAATACAGTGCACTGGAAGATTTAGTGGTAGCCAGGTCATCCTAATATTATATTTAGGAAAGTCCACATGAGCACCAGCAGGCCCTGCTGCTCTCTCGCATTATCGGCAACATTGTATGTGAACCGGAGGGCATTCTGAGTTGCAATAGCTGATCGGCTCTAGGAAAAACTAAATGAGTCAATCATGGTGATGAACAGAAGCCTCCAGGTAAGCGCATGTGCTTGATTTCCGCCAGGGTAGAGTACTGATGGGCGTTACTAGGAGGTCAACATCCAGAACATGAACGTCGAGCTTGTCGCACAGATGTTCAAGAACTACCAGTCCAACGTTCTATTCCATCTAGAAGGTAGTTTTCCATTGAATTCTTAGTTGAGTTTGGCTGACCAGTATTAGCGACGGAGAATTTGAAAGACCCGTCATCCTCGTCCAGTTCTTGATACCCAACAGCGTTTCCTAGTTAAATTGATAATGAAGACATGATTTCCACGTAACTCCGAATTTCACTTATCCCTCAAATTTGAAAGGATAGTAGACCAAGTAAAGACAGCCAAGTGTGACTGCTAGGTTCCGTAAAGAGGCATAGTTACTCGTGGAGTGATCGGCTTGGCGGCATATGAGCGCCGCTGGCGGTGGCCGGAGAGGCCTCCACGGCCCCGACCAAAGCTGGGGAACTTTCAAGCTCCCATTTCCTTTCCTTCCTCATCACCAACACCACCGCAACCTGCGTCATCCTATCTTTGACTGCCTTATCAGCGCGCATCTATCATCTGCTAGTGGGTAACTGGTGCACTAACGCTTGCGACACTCACTGCAATGCAGTGAGCGGTCTTTACCTGGAAGCTTCCAAGTTGCTGCTAAGAGCGCCTGCGTCCAACCACCATGGCTATCACCTCGATCCAGCCGGTTCTACCGACTCGGTTCACGATAAATTCGACCGAGAAAGGTGCCAAAAAGCCTCCCCCGGAACCCTACCACGTGAAAGACCATCCATTTAAAGGCTACCACCCCCCTCAGCCGGAAGGCTACGAAAAGAGCAAGAGTACTAGCGCCATAGTTATTGATAATGGTGAGTGAAGGCCCTGGCTTGAGACTACATTGTGTACGGTCTACTGACTTTTGCGATCGACTTGAAGGCTCGAACCTGGTCAAAGCCGGGTGGTCGTTCGACAAATCTCCTCGTTTCGTGCTTCCTCCTGTGATGAGCCGGTATCGCGACCGGAAGCTCAACAAAGCCTGCCAATTTATCGGATACGATTCCTATGTAGATGCGACTACGCGCGGTCAGCTGCGCTATGCCTTTGACCCTGGCACGAGTGTGGTGGGTAACTGGGATGTCATGGAGGGGGTGTTGGACTATCTGTTCATCAAGCTGGGAGTCGATGGTGCCAATGGAGGGGTGGACAGGCCGATTGTCATGACTGAGCCGATAGCCAACCTCGCTTATCCCAGAAGGAGTAAGTTGTATCACTTGCAACTACAGTGGTGGCATTGCTGACGATATTCTAGTGATGAACGAGATCCTGTTCGAGTGCTATTCCGCGCCATCGGTCGCCTACGGAATCGACTCCCTGTTCTCCTATCGGTACAACCGCGGAAAGGACGGACTCATCATCTCGTCCTCGCACACATCGACACATGTGATTCCTGTGCTGAATAACAAGGCTTTGCTATCCAACTGCTCGCGGCTAAATTGGGGTGGACTGCACGCATCGGAATACTTGCTGAAACTTATGCGCCTGAAGTACCCGACATTCCCTGCAAGGATGACAGAAAGCCAGATGGAAGACATTGTGCACAAGCATTGCTACGTTTCCAAGGACTACGACCAAGAGCTGAGTCACTACCTAGACTGGACGGGGCTGGAGGAGCGAGACTGTATCGTTCAGTACCCTTATACCGAGCATGTTGTGCCCGAAAAGACCGAGGAAGAACTCGCCCGGATTGCCGAGAGGAAGAAGGAAAGTGGGCGTCGGTTGCAGGAGCAGGCCGCTAAGATGCGGCTAGAAAAGTTGATGAAGAAGGAGCAGGAATTGGAGTACTACAAGGACCTACAAAATGGACTGGCCTCGGAGACGAAGAAGGAAGCCAGGCGCATCCTCGAAGCGGAGGACCTGAAGGATGAAGCCCATCTAGATCGACTGATTCGGGATCTTGAGCGGTCCATCAAACGATCCCGGAACCGGGACCTGGGTATCGAAGAAACCGAAGAGCCCCAGGAAGAGATGTCATTCCCGTTATTGGACGTCCCGGATGAAGAACTGGATGAAGCTGGTCTGAAGGAAAAGCGCCATCAGCGACTGATGAAGTCCAACGTTGAAGCTCGACAACGCGCGAAGGCAGAGAAAGAGCGTGAGAAGGCTCGCCGGGAAGAGGAGGAACGCCTCGACCGTGAGAAGCGCGAGAACGATTTCGAGAATTGGCTCGCTGAACGCAGAGCAAACCGTCAGGTATGATTGCTCCCCGTACTGATAATGGCACGTCTAACCTTTCTACACAACAGAATATCATGCAGAAGATCAAGGAACGTGACAGGATGAAGGCGGATCTCGGCAACCGCAAATCATTAGCCAGTCAGATGCGCATGAAGACACTCGCCAACCTCGCTGCGGATGGGCCCAAGAAGCGGAGGCGTGGCGGGGACGATGACACCTTCGGTGCCAACGACGAAGACTGGGGTGTCTATCGAACGGTGGCTACGGGTGAACAGAGTGATGAGGAGGAAGAGGAGGATCTTGGAGGCATGCTTGATACCGTTGAGAAGGAGCTACTCGAGTACGACCCCGAATTCACAGAGAACCACACGCTCGCCGCGCAATCCGACTGGACGAAGAGCCTAGTGCACGTCTTCCTGCGGGGCCCCTGGCCCTTTGATCCCGAGAGCCAACGTGAGGCTCATCAGTTGCACCTGAACGTGGAGCGAATCCGCGTTCCCGAGGTGGTGTTCAAGCCGTCAATTGCGGGCGTTGACCAGGCCGGCCTGTTGGAGATTGCTGCCGATATTGTGAACCAGCGATTCCCGAACCCCGAGGAGCAATCGAAACTGCTGCGGGATGTGTTCCTCACGGGTGGCAACACCATGTTCAAGAACTTCGACGAACGTCTCCGCAACGACTTCCGCGCGTACCTCCCCGTGGACGCCCAACTCAACGTCCGACGTGCAAATGACCCGGTTTTGGACGCATGGAAGGGTGCTGCGCAGTGGGCATCAGGGTCAGAGTTGGCCAAGTCCTCGATCACTCGGCAGGAATACTTGGAGAAGGGCAGCGAATATCTCAAGGTAAGCACGGGAAAATTCCTCGCTGTGATGCAAGCGAGATCGGCTAATAATCTTCCAACAGGAGCATGATATGGGCAATGCCACTACATGGTAGATGTCAGAGCCTGCAATACGTTCTGCCTGTCTAATACCTATACCAAGAGTGAGATCTTAGCATAATCCGGTTGGGGTATACGAGGTCGGGACTGGGAACGCCTTTGGCGGACTGTGGATCAGCGATGCGACAAACCCAAGCTGCACCACCGAACTACCAAAGGCGTAGATGCGGGTGGCGGTGTGTATCCAGGGCGCGAAGGGACAGGGAGTCGGGCGTACTAACTCGGATGAAACATTCAAATTTCGACGAGGAATGATTTGATAGATTAAGATGGCATGGATAGTTTTACTTCCTTATTATTCTTATTTTGTATGCTACAGTCCTTTTACTATCATATGCTTTCCTCAATAATGTATAGTAAGTGAGCTCGTATGAGAAACAGGATCCTCGCGTCCGCAATTCTGACCATCAGCCCGTCTCGGCCTTACTCGTACAGGCGCGATATGATAAAGTAAAGTACTTACTGAACTGCATTGAGCAAGTTTGGCGATGCGAATGCCGACGGTTTAGTGAAGCCAGCAACGTAAACTAAAGTTCCGTATGCATTTCACAACAACACTAATCGCTCATCAAGCACACTTCCAAGACTGCACACCCCCCATCTAGATATACCATTATGGGAAGACATTGTGATAGCGCAAACAGTACTTGATGGCTGCTGATCTCTCCCCACCAGCAACTCAGCAACGCTGGACACGGCCCATGTTTGCTTATTAGCTTCTTGCTTCACAGCCTCGACCACAGCCCTGTTACACTACATACATTACACGCATACTTCAACGCCACTTCCAACGCGCTCAGCTAGTTATAGAAAGTGAGCGCCACCATTGATCACCAAGCAAGGAACTAGGTAGTTGCTTGCTTTAAACCGCTCAATGAAACTAATGGACTGATTCCATTCAGCGCGTAAGCATAGTACTCCCCTGGCCTCCCCAGAATTAACTGTAAGGGAAAGGTCAGTCTCAGCTGTTTATACGTGCAATGTGATATTAAGTGCATTTGCGGTTGATACTTTTTCGACGCACCTAATATGCACTGGTGACATATGCTGTGCTTGTAATATGTCTGGACAAATCAAAGCCCCGTTGCAACCCCTATGCCGCCAGCTAATATCAGCAATGCACGACAGGCGTTAGCTATACCCGCCGATCTTAAGTGATAGCAGCCCGACAACAAACAAACCCTTGCCCACTGTGCATGGTGTGACTGACATGTTTGTTGTTGCTTGTGACTTGGGTGTCACCAATATTTTTTCGTCATCCTGGGTGTGCACCCTTACGCCTGTCGTAAGGTATTCTACCTGGATGTGGTGTCAATTGTGTGTATTGCTATTGCATCTAATTTTCAATCCTTTGATCCCGATATAAAAACTTAGACAAGTGCCAGGCGACTATTATCATCTTAATAACATCACAGGATTATTAAGACCATTTTCAATTTTACTACATCCAAAACCTCAACAACCCTTCGCCATGAAGTTCAGCTTGATCTGGTCTCTGAGCCTGCTCTTGACTGTACATGCTGCAGTTATTCCACGTACGTCAAAGTCCCTAGTAGTAACCACGACGCCGATAATAACAGGGAGTAGGACCTGCTGAGTCCTCGATGTCTCTCGAAGCAGGTGTCCGCGCCGCTGGATATGAAGCTAGTGGTATTCATGAGAGATCTGCATTGCCACATGATGAGGACAATACTGTTATCGGGGAAGGGTGGTAGATGAGCGTTGGAGCTGTCTCGAGGTTATGTGGGGTCTGATGGAGATGTCGTATGTTTTAGGTGGAGTATAGCTCCAGCCAAGAGCAAAAGCCTATAGCCGATAATGTTTCTCTCTTCCATTCTCGTGATCCATTATTACACCTCCCAATCAAACACTCAACCTAATCCCATCCCCAATCTCCATTTCACCATCTTCGCACCTCGTAAAATGATCAACTAGTCGAATGGGCTGCTCACTATCCTTATAACAAGCCGTTCTCTGACGAATCCACTCTCTCCGACTCCTCCAATCGAGACACTTCCGAGCCTGTCCATCACCAGTTTGATTGCGTCCCCATGTGTAGAGAAGTGTATCTCCAGTTGTTCCACATACAATATACTGCAGCAGGCTGTCGAAGCAGTGCCAAGAATGTTCAAGGGGAAGTTTGGGGGGCATTCCTGATCGTATCTCTAAGAGTGTCCGGCGGATTATCGTGAGGCAGTGGATCTGGTGGTACCTATCAAGTCCGTAATCACCATGAGTTTGTTGTTTCCAGTATCACAAAAAAGACTCGTTCGAAAACTTCAGGGGGTAGAGAAATCAGAGCTGGAGGAGTAGTCCGGCCTTACGCATCAAGAATGTACACTCCCTTCGAAGAATCTGATGGAAGACTCATGCTCGCTGGGAGGTGGTTCTCCACAGCCCACCCGTGATCAACCGCGACGAAGCCGTACGCTGGGATGACTTCCTCCCAGGCCTTATTCACGGCATCGAAATCTTCGGGCTTCGAAGAGCTATAGATTCCTGTCGTCCATTGGAATTGAATCCAACGGTCATGGTCTGAGGTCGTATCTTTTGGTTTTTTTGTTTGGTTAGAGATCATTCTTAGATCGAGTGAACGTTGGAGAGTCAAAATTAGTACCACTGACCGTATTCTGGATTAGCCTCGGTAGTTCTACCATCCAGCGGAGACAAGATACGGTTTACTAGGAGTCCTGTACAAAGGATGCTAAGACAAACTATCAAGACTTCTCGCCAGATATGACGGAGCGATAGGATGGACCCATAAAGGCGCTCGGGTAGAGAGGGAGGATCAATGGGTGCGGAATGATCAAGCGACGCATATTTGGCTTCTGAAAGTCGAAATTTAGCAGGCATGTTCACTTCGGGTCAAGGTGTAGTGCACTTTGGAGCGTGACCATAGATGAAGCATTGATGTGGCTATCTGTACCATTTTAATTCTGGAATCGTATTTGTAGGTAATGTGTGAGTTTCCGTGTTTGACAGACTATCTGAGCCTCAGTCTTGTTTTTGAAATCCCCTGGCTGCGCCCGTGTAACTCAAAGGGCTGGTCATAAGGTAAGACACTGTCATACGGTGAGACTACTTATGCAAGTTGTTCAGGGTTATTTCAACTCTAGAGGCTGATCCCATAGACATTCATTGGCCCGTCACCTAGGACTGGATAGGTACTAGTAGCAATCAAACTGACCAGGGCTGTGCTGTCTACTGCCTCCTATGGCCCGGAATGCCATGGTCTGACAAGGTTCACATTAGACGAGTTAGAATTTGCCGAGCCGTCTAGGCTATCGATTTGTATAGCGCTCGATGCCGTAGACTGGGGATTTCGGTACAGGTATTTCTTAAAACTGTTGACGAGAGAGTTTAACGCGCGTTTTCTGTACATTGGCCGTAAGGAAGGGAGGCAGATAACGATGACACCGAGACCGCATTCGATCATGGTCCAGAACAGGAGGTATGTGACGAGTGCTGTTCTGTTAGCTTTGGCCAGAGTATTGTTCCTGGTTTCGTACTTTCTCCATCTGATTGAGCGAAGGGATTGATGAGATGTGCGATGTAGATAGCCATTCGTGTTGCAGAAGCTGCGATTGCCCTTGGACGGGCGTCAGACACACGCTATGACTCTGCAGGAAGCACACTCACAAGAGACCAACGAGGAATATTAGCCCAAGTGCCATCCTCTGGCGAACAGAAATGTTTAACATCCATATCTGTGGCAGGATGAGCTCGATAGTTGGTGGCCCCAGCATGATTTACTTACCCGCGGCAGGGGGAGTAGCCATATAATCACATCCATGATAAAGTCAGAAATGGCATATCCCTCAACAATCGGGACCTGTAGACTACATTCGGATGTAACGACTGCAACAGTTCCCCAGGCGTTCACGGGATGGGCACCGCAGATGAAGATTGTACCAATGCCAAAGACTACAGTCCAAACTGAGACTAGCACTATCATGCACATGGTCACAGAGTGGAAGGCAGCGCGAATGGTCCGTCTACTGCAGAATATGCTGCGGTAGAAATATAGAATGCTGAGTTTTGCGAAACCAAATGCCCAGACTGTCACTATGTCAGCGACGTATTGGATCTATTAAGGATTAGTTCTTGAATCCGATTTAAGCAGAGAGATGTGAACCTGTAGAAGCCTGATTTGTTGATCAGAGTTTGAGAAGATGTAAGCATCTGGACGTGGGTCATCGGGCTGAGGAAGAGGACTTCCTAAGGATCCTGTTGTTGCTCCCCAGAGCATCAGGGTGGCGAGTACATATTCCAATCCCTCAATGAGTCAATATTATTCAATTTCAAGGCCTCAGGGTGCATATATTTTACCAGTGCAGGCAGTGTCAACCAGTCGTCAATCCACAACACAGATTTCGTCTTTCTTCTGGTATAGAAGCGCAGAATCACCGTTAAGGTGCCCAAGATAGGAAAGAGAATAGAAATCGTAATCATTGCAGCGGGGTTTGCGTATGTATGTGACATGATGATAACGGCGACCTTGGAATCCCACCGACAATGGGAGAGGAATCGTTGTTATGAGATGAAGAGCGAAGCGACACAACAGATAATGCCATCTTGCCGGTACTCCCCTCGCGTCCTTGTTTTAGGTGTGTGTGTTTGTGCGTACGTGTGTATACCTTGTTGCTCTCAGCTAGAGGCGGCTACGGGCATGCTGACTAGACTAGTAGGGTTACACACCGGGATGATCCTGGTCAGGCTCACCCACAAAGCGAGGCTATTTTCAGAAGCTTCTTCTCTTACCTCTTGCTTGACATGCTGTCAGCATCTCTTCATCCCTTCTTCACTGAATTCGGTTATTGATTATGACTTTGCTCTGGAGTCTGGGGGTTGCCGCCTTGCTGTCCGTACTTTGGACAGCAAGTGAAGCTATCCGCCGCCTTTACTTCCACCCCTTAGCCCATATTCCCGGTCCCCGTCTTGCAGCCCTCACATGGTGGTATGAGTTCTATTTCGACGTTATTCAGCCCGGTCAATACGTGTTCAAGATACAGAATCTGCACACACGATATGGTATGTCAAGCTCTGCTTCATGTGTGAGCCCCACTGACGGTTGTAGGCCCAATCATCCGTATTACCCCAGATGAGGTTCACATCAATGACGTTGGCTTCTTGGACACTATCTACGCCCCATCAATGGCCAGAAGGGACAAGTATGGCTATCAGCTGAGGAGCCTTCGCGTCCCGGGTGGATTGGGCACAACCACCGACCATGACTTGCATAAAGTCCGGCGAGAGTCTCTTGCGCCCTTCTTCAGTAAAAGGAACATTCTGCACATGGAGGGGTTGATCTCAGACAAGGTAGACCAGCTAAAGCGATTGATAACCACCCATGTTGCCGAAGACACCCCAGTCAACTTGTCAGATGCGTTCTTCGCATTCTCGAATGAGTAGGTTGACCCGTCATTCACTCGGTATCGAGGCTAATTGCCCAGCGTTGTCAACAACTTCCTCTTCGCGCACCGGACAGATGTACTTGCAAGCGAACCGAAAGCCGCCATCCTCCGCCACAACAGCAAAGAGCTCTTGATGGGGATCAATATCAACAAGCACTTTCCACAAATACCCGATTTCCTGGAGTCGCTCCCTGTGTCCATAAGCCGCCCAATGATGCCTCCAGGCCTTGTTGATCTGCTGGCCCTATTTGACGTGAGGCTCCGCACCGAGAATATATACCAAGTCTAACAGTTCAATGCAGCGTGTTCGCAAGGAGATTTTCATGATCACAAAGGCTAAAGAATCAGGGGTAGCTGTCAAGGACAAAACTGGACCAACCGGCAAAGAGTCAGTGTTTGATTCATTACTGGACAGCCCAAACCTGCCAGCCTCAGAGAAAATGCCCCTCCGGTTGCAGCAAGAAGGAGCCCTGCTAGTCCTAGCGGGAACCGAATCGCCAGCTCAGACACTTAACATCATCTTCTATCATCTTCTTGCCAACCCCACAGTTCTCGAGAAGCTTCGCAGGGAGCTCCGTGCCGTACCTATACCTTCCTCATGGACACAGCTCGAGCAACTTCCGTATTTATCTGCGGTAATCGAGGAAGGCAACCGGCTTTCTTTTGGCGTCACGGCTCGGTCCGCACGTATCGCTTATGAGCCGCTGACCTATACGCCTTCCTCGTACGTCGCCTTGACCTGTCCACCCAGCACCAAAAGCAAGTCGTACACAATCCCGCCACGCACTCCAATATGCACCACGACTCTGAGTGCACACACCGCGGACACCGTCTTTCCGGATCCTTTTGTCTTTGACCCGGAACGTTGGCTTGGTGATGCTGGGAAGGAGCGACGAAGGTTTCAAATGGCATTTAATAAGGGAGGGCGAAAGTGCCTTGGCATCGAACTCGCGCGTGCGGAGCTATATCTTGTGGTCGCAGCCCTGGTTCGAGAATTTGACATGACACTGTTCGAAACAGATGCCGATGATGTGGCGTTTCTGTATGATTTTCAAGTCGCCATGCCGAAGATGGGGTCTAAAGGAGTGAGGGTGATGGCGAAGTTGGTTCATTGATTACATTCGACCGCTACCGGAAGATTTTCGGGGGTTTGATGTCCAGCATACTGTAAGGGGGACTGGTCAGAAACCATGGATCTATAGAGGACTAATCGATCCTAGACTAGTTGGGTGGGCTCAATTTCGGTTGGTGCCGCCAGTTCATTGCTATCAAATTGCTTATAACCACCAACGCCTAGCTCTCGAACGATGCATCATTCAAATCATCGGTCTTACTAATGCCAAGTCGCGCGGTACATGCGCCGGCTTCCATCAACTATGGTTCGGTCAATGACTTGACACACTAATGTACAACTAGCTCTGTATGTCTCACTTAGTCCGTGATACGCGGACATTCTGTGGGTTGTGGGTCAGTTAAATCGACGAACAGACAGTGGAGCTGCGTGCTAGGCGCTTATGTGCTGAGTTGATAAGACCCTGTGATTAGTTCCTAGTTGCAGGGATGTAGACCCTTTCTGCCCCTGTAATACTCGAGTCTGTAGGTGAACTATAGTGGTGTGTAGGTGGCTGTGGGTACCGATAGTCTTCTCAGCCTTTCGGTCGTAACCCAGTCCCTTAGGGCGCATCATCCATACCTGACTACGTTAATTGCCAAGAGGAGGTTGTCTGCTACTAAATGCTGCTACCTGCGCTGTTTGCCTTTTTTGAATGAAATATTACTCTAAACCCTAGCAAATGCAGCTGCCACCGTTCTGATGTTATAGCTTCGTTCCGAGCCTTCCTCCACGCCCCCCCCCTCCTATAATTTCCACGATACAATGCTTCCATTCTCTCTGAATAAAGTCGCCAAGCAAGTTCTCACTCATATTCCTTATTATCTTCAGCTGCGCGCATCGAAAATATTCATCCTCAGCCTGTTCGTCTGGCTCCTAATATTCTACTATTGCCGAATCAGCCTCTGGCGTGATCCACACTCTGCCTTTTTCCAAGATCGCCATGTCTACGAATTGGATTACAGTCTCCACCGTGAGCGTGAGGCCTGGCATTTTATCTCGCAGCACAACTCAGGCATTGATCCACCAGACTACGTGAAGAGTGGAGGCACACCTACAGCTTGTATCGCCATGGTCACTGTTCGACGAGACTCGGACCATTATTTCGAAGCATCTGTTGGCTCACTGCTGGAGGGGTTGGACGAACGAGAGCGACAGGCATTGTATCTTAGTATCCTGTTTGCCGATACGGACCCGAGAGTACATCCTAGTTGGGATCAAAAATGGGTGGGCAGGCTTGTGGATGCAGCGGATACTTATAATGTGTCGGAAGGGCAGTTGCAGAACTTGCAGGATCTGGAGAGGGATAAGAACTTTTATGAGAAGGGGGTCTTGTGAGTTTATGAAAATTTTCCAGGGCCTTGGTTCTTATACATCTGCCTCTAGGACCAAGCCAGCTAACAATGTGCAGCGACTATATTTACGCCCTCCGAACCTGCCAAGAAGTAAACGCTCCCTACACGATCATTTTCGAAGACGACATTATCCTTGCCACAGGGTGGTTCTCGAAGACTTTGAAGGCACTCTCCGACATTTCCCAACGGAATCAACAGCCACGAAACCCTTGGATATACCTCCGTCTTTTCTACACTGAAACCTCGTTGGGGTGGAGCGACT